GCTGGAGTCCTCAAGGGTGACACGGCGTGTCTTGTGGTGACACTGCCGGGGAGCCGACGAGCAGTGGAGGAAATTCTCGGTGATAGTAAAGTCGTTGACGTATTAATAGAAGCTGCTAGGATTGCGGTAGGGTCATGAATTTATAAAATTTTCAGTTTCTGAGATCAACTTCTTATTTGTTGCGTTTTTGGTATGTCTATGCGGGTTCTATAACAGGTTTGGAAAAAAAGGAGTTTCCACGATTGATAATTCTGGTTGATAGTAAAGTCGTTGATGTAGTGATAAAATCTACTAGAATTGCAGCAAAGTTAAGAATTTTTAAAATTTTCTGTGATTTTTTGTGATATTGGTATGACTATTCGTAGGCCCATTTAGCTTTGAGAAATAACGTTCCCTAGTGTTTGATAACAATGGGGAAAATGTTGCTAATGTGATGATGACATTTACATGGGAAACTGATTGAAGAATGTGTTCCTAGCCATCCGTGGAAAACTCAAAATGAGTTCCCCCCGGGAACATTATAGGTTCTCTATGTGTGTTACATAACAGGTTGGGAAATATATAATTTTTCCGATGGCGAATTCCTCGTCTACCGTCGAAGCAGTGGAGTCGTGGCCTGTGTATCTGATTTGGTTCATTCATCACAACTCTTATTACAATTTGCGGTTTCACGAACTGGAGGCACTCGCGGAGCTTTGCGGTGGCGTTAGCAAAGAAAGCCTATATGCGGTGTATGATGATAAAAAGGTGACGGAGTAGCGAATTTATGATAGGAATTATATATTTGGAAATTATTGGAGTTTCATCCGTTTTACGTGAAGTGGCGTAGTACTCTGTGAAATATTCATTTTCGATATTCGCGACCTGATGTTATATATTAGTGGAGTTTCACCCTAGTGATACGAAAAACACTGGTGAAAAATATATTTCACGACTACTGCATATCACCGCGAATATCAAGTTTTTCGCGGAGTATTACGCCACTTCACGTAAAACGGGTTGTGAAACTCCAATGTAGTTAGTACATATATTTTGTATTAGAGAAGCCTTTTAAGTTCAGCCTGAAAATTCATCCACTTCATAGGAGTTTCACCAACCGTTTTACGTGAAGTGGGGTAATACTTCATGTGGAAAACCCGATATTCGCGATATGAAGTGAAATGAAAACACTTGGGGAATTACACCGGACAAATCACCCCGTATCACGTAAAACTCATCACGTGTTGCTCACATGCGTTTTTCGCGAAGTTTAATATGTTTTTCATATCACTAGGGTGAAACTCCATTATATTTTATGAACTGTTGAGCAACTCTATTTTTCCAGGCCGCACCAGTTCATCCCCCTACTGCTTTAGTCGAGTCGCCTTGGGTTTATATCAGATTGCCCAACGATGAAGTGGCTAAGGCTATCGCGG